AAATAGGCGAGAAAATCCAACAGAAGTTATTACCTTTAAAGATTTCATTTATTTTTAATAACTTTCTTTAAATGATGATGGCAAAATTGTCAGTATATTAAAAAGAAAACATTGGTTTATTTATTTATTCAGCAATGAAAATTTGTCATAAAAACAAAAAAAAAGTTAAAACCTTTTGTAGTGATATGCAAATTAGTATAATTTGCATATGAGCAGGTAGCTCATATATAATAAATGGACACCAACAAGAACGGAAGTTGAATACGAACTTAAATGATACACGACTAATAACAATGGCGTCGCCGATAGGATACTCTTTGGTCCTTGAAGACCCAGAGTACGTGAACACATGGATTCGTTGCTTTGCTGCTAATGCTAGATGTAAAAAGTTGAAAGACAACAAAAAACAGAGGAGGGAAAAATGAAATCACCGACTTGTTCATGGCTACCGCTGGTTGTGAAGCGATTATGAAGGTTGCTACAATGGTTTACCCTCGAGAACTAGAAGAAATGACTTTCGAAGAAATAAGTCAGGTTATTAAGGGAAACATGAGGCCAAAGAAAAGACTGGTGATTGCAGAAAGGACCAAGTTTATGGCAATGAAGCAGGAAGTGGATGAACCGATAGTAAAATATTTACACCGGTTAAGAAGTGCGAAAAAATACTGTGAATTCGAAAACTAGGAACAGGCGAGCAGACAACGGAAGAAGAATTAATCCAACTAAGATTAATTGAAGGTATGCATAATTCGGCACATAGATATAAGTTAATGGAACAGTTACAACTTACAAACATGCCTTTGAATATGTGTATAGAATTTATACAACAGCAGGAATTAATACATACCTACAACCAAAATAAAAATAAATCCTACGAAGAAATAATGGCTGAAACATATACGGTACAAACAAAAAAAAAAATTGTGCGCGTACTGTGGAAAAATTCATGAAATGAAAAAGAAAAATGCCCAGCCTTTGGAAAGACGTGTTCAAAGTGTTTAAAAAAAAAAGCGGACTTCAAAGAAGTATGTAAAACGAAAAATGTGGAAAGAGTAGAGGATGAAAATAGACAGATTTTAATGTAAAAAAGGATAATATACAAAATACTGGATCTAAGAACGGAGATACAAAAATAAAAGTGAAAATCAACGACTGTATTGTCGAAATGCAAATCGACACAGGTAGTGACGTCACGATAGTACCCAGAAATTTGTGGGGAAAAAAAAAGAAAACCGTTTTTTTTAAAACAAACGTACAACTACGTCAGTTTGATGGCTCGATTATAGCAATTATGGGTTACTTTGAAGGTTCAATAGAATTAAAAGAAATATGAAATAGTACCCATTATAGTTACAAATTGCCGAAAAAAGCGCATGGACTACTGGGGAATGACGTGTTAAAAATAAATTCAATGAAGTTGATTAATGAGATAGAAATAGAAAAAACAGGAAAATTAAAAAACTATGAAGCTAGCCTGAAATTAAAAGAAGATGTTTCCCCCTACTACGAAGCGAGAAAATACCAGTGCATTTATTACCATTGGTAATAGCTAAATTGCAAAGCTAATAAAGGAAGACTTATTAGAACCTGCCTCCAGGAGGAAGTAAATGGGCATCACCCATCATGGTATTGAAAAAAAAGATGGTGACCTGAGAATTTGTGGAGATTATAAAATAGGGGTGAACCATAAAGTTTGTGCTGACTCTGCACTTATTCCAAATGTGGAAGTAGCTTTACATAAGCTTGCTGGAATGAAAGTATTTTCGAAGATAGACCTAAAATCAGCTTACCACCAAATACCGATAAATGAAAATTTTAAAGAAGTGACGACTATAAACACACCTATAGGCCTGTTAAGGTGGAAAAGAATGCCGTATGGCATAAAAACGGCAAGTGCAATTTTTCAAAAAGCTATTGAAAAAGTAATAGGAAATGTTGAAAATACCATCTGTTATCAAGACGATATATGTGTTGGAGATTTAAATGAAGATGATTTAAAGAAAAAAACTGAAAATATACTGAACCGGCTGAGAGACGCTGGTATGACAATAAATACAAAAAAGTGTGTAACCAACAGTAATGAAATATCATTTTTGGGTTACTCAATATCAAAGGAAGGATCTCTCCAGATAAAGTACTAATAGAGAAAATTCTAAAAGTTGCTACACCAAAAATAAAAAAGAATTGAGTCCTTCTTAGGTTTGGTAAATTTTTATAGAAAATATGTACCAAAATATAATGAGTTGACAGAGCCATTTGCTAAGTTAAGAAAAAAATGTGGAATTCATTTGGTTAGAACACCAACAGAAAGCCTTTGAAAACTTAAAACAGATTCTGGCAAAAAAAGCCAATAGTACAAATTTTTGACCCTAAGGAGGACATAACTCTAACTACTGACACTAGTGAGCAGTCCATATCTGGTATTTTGTCACAAGATGGGCATCCCATAATGTATTTATCAAGGAGATTAACAACAACTGAACACAATTATTCGAATATAGAAAGGAGGCACTAGCCATAGTGTGGACAACGATAGAGCAAGACAGTTTTGATGGGAAAAATTCTTGTTGAAAAGTGATCATAGACCACTGGAATTTATTTTCAACCTAAGAAAAGAGCTACCGAAAGTTACAACGTCCAGAATATTACGTTGGGCGATTAGACTGATGGCGTTCGACTTTGACATTGAATATGTTAAAGGAATACGATACCGCACGTTGATGCCTTATCTAGATTGAGGTTTTATAGAGAGGAGGACAAAAACGACGAGGAATTTGAAGACACATTCTTGCACCTTGTAGAAACCGATGTAATATCTGTAGATAAAATAGCTACTGAAACTACAAATGACCCAATGTTAAATAGAATAATGTCGAAGATAAAACAGAATCGCTGGGGAAATTGTTCAATGGCTGAAAGACCATTCAAAGAAATTAGACATAGAATGACTATAGAAAACGGGATAATATGTAATGGAGACTTGGTAGTTCCCCCAGAAACACAGAGGAGACAGGTTATAAAAAAGTACACGATGACGTACATTGGGAGTGGCAGCTACGCAAAGAAGATTAAAAATGGAAGCCTGGTGGCTGGGGTACTCAAGAGAGGTAGAAGACTACGTAAAAAGATGCAAAAATGCACAGAACTCAGGAATTTTAAGCAAAAGAAAATACATGTATGGCCCCTTGAGAAGTAGAACCATGGAGCAGAGTAAACATGGACCATGCCTATGTCAATGGGATAGGACTATTATTAATATTAGTAGACGCATATTCAGGTTGGCCTGAAGTGGTGAGAGTACCTGATAAAAAAAGTACCACCGTAAAACAAATATTAAGAGTAATATTTTCGAGGAATGGGACACCGAGAACATTGGTGACTGATAACGCACCAGAATTTGTGGATGCTGATTTGCATGAATGGCTAAGAAAAATAGGATGCAGACCTTACAAGACCCCTCACTACCACCCTCAAAGTAATGGGGCAGCGGAAAGGATGGTCCAGACGGTAAAGAAGGGCATAAAAGCATGCTTGCAACAGAAGGAGGAAATCGATGCTTTCCTACCAAGATTACTATTAAGTTACAGAACAATTCCACATGCAGGCAGGCCGGAAAGTCCATCTGCCTTAATGGGCAGACAATTAAGGTCCCCTTGACTATGTCATATGCCACAAATCAAAAGATGTGGTACAAAAGAAATAGGAATATGCAACCAGAGTCAGCCGAATTTATTATGCAGAAAGGACATAATACTGCAATATTAAATAAAGAAAATGGGAACAGTGTTCTAGCTCATGCTGACCAAATAAGATCCCAAGGAGAAGAATCTGATGAGGAAATGCCTTCAGAGATGCCCATTATTGATGTATCAGAAGAGTTAATGCAGAATGAAACTGCGGAGGAAGAAGTAGAGAGAGATGAGTTAGAAGAGGAAGACCAGAGTATGCAAGAGGAACAATTTGATTATAGGGAAAGACGTGATAGATCTAGATCTCCAAGGGAAAGGAGAGAGATAAAGGAAGATGTTCAGGAGGGCACAAGAAATACAAGAAGTACTCGCGGCATAAGGCCCCTCCGTTATAGGGAGATGTAGTGATATGCAAATTAGTATAATTTGCATATGAGCAGGTAGCTCATATATAATAAATGGACACCAACGAGAACGGAAGTTGAATACGAACTTACACGATGTAACACCTTTCTTCCCCCAAACCAATATCTGCAGACAGCTTTTATACTCTCACTCTCTCTCAATCACAGACACTGCACACACATACGTATCTAATAAAAAATGACATCAAAGACTTTCTATGAGTGACTCTTTTGAAGACATTTTTTTTTTCAGACTGTCTCCTGCAACTTAAAAGAAATGTCCTGGACATCAGAACAGTAACACCTAGGTGTCAAAGTCACTTGCCTCTTTACCAAAACTTGGGGTAGAAGTTGAAATAGTTATACATGAAAATGGAAACTAACAAGCACTCTCACACACACAATTTCTCACTCTCTCCCTCTCTCTTATACATTTACCACAGATATAATAATAAAAAATAACTCAGAGTTTAGCTCAGATTTTATTTCTTTCTTTTTATTGTTGAATGTTTAAAAAAAATCAAATATTTTTGAAGCGGGTGCAGAGCGCAAATAACCCTACTCTTTAGTCCCAAATAGAGCTGCTCATGCTCCACTCCGGTTGAATATAAAATGAGTCCTCTTCTCCTTTACTCCAGTAAAAAGGAGTGTGCCATCTAGATATATATTTGCTGGTTCTATATATATTGTGCTCTGCATGTGTGTATATGTACATTTTATACAAGGAAACATTTTGTTTTGCATGTTGTCTATATAAGTGAATAATCTTGCTTGTACAATTTCTGTGTTTAATGTATACAAACAGTTAAATGCTATTGAGTATATTGAATTTAATGACATTTTGGTTTATGATAATTCATTTTAATGTTGCTTATTTGTTATTTAGGCGGAAGGTGATTTAGCATTAATGAAATCAGAACATGATCGCTACAAAGATACTACAGATGATGCCTTAACAAAATGGAAAAATATTGCTCATCAGCTGGAACTGGATAAGCAAGAACTTCAAAATAAATTAGAAGATGAAAGAAGGTAAATTTAATTACATTTGCTGTAGTCTTTAGTGTGGAGAATTGCACTGGATATTTCATTGCAGTCATTTCATGCATTTTCATACATATAAAACTAATGTTTTATTTTCTTATAACAAAAGATTATTAATTGTTCTTTTGGCTTTAATTTCTTGAATCATTGTTGCTTTTTTCTCTTCTCAGTCTTTTTAGCATATTCACAAATTATTTGAATTTCTTTTTAAGGAAAATTGAGGATCTCCAGTTTCAGATTGAGGAGGAAGTACTTAGCAAGGATGATTTGGAGGTAAAAATTATAATATTCTTTGTTGGTTAACAGATTCAATATAAAAATGTATTAGAGTGTAAGCTGTTGTTTCTATTAGTGTACTATAATTGTTTACTACTAGTTTAATAACCTTGATATAATTTGTCAACCAGTGGGAACCTTATTGTGTGTGCATGAACAGATACTGCTGACTGAGTAACCTCATTAGAAAGTGTGATACCATTGAATGACCCTAGACACTGTAACCACCATATTCATCTTGCATTGATTTTTTCATAAAACATTGTATCACCCAAATCTCTTACAGATTTGGCTTTCTGTGATTTAATTTTTTTTTTTTTTTTTTTGTAATTGTCATTGAAAAGATTTCAGACTGGTTAAGATTAAGAATTAAAATAGCTGATGACAATCCCAAAAGAGAACTTTACAAATGGTTTTGAAAAGTGAAATGGATGTTGGAAACATAGAAGAATTAACTCCAGCATCACAAATCCAGCTTATTTACCTATACCTTCTGTTTCCTTCTCCCACATTTTATCTTATTCTTTAACCAGTTTTTGTTACATGTAGTCAAGTACAAAGGAGTACCTTTTGTAAGTCATCATTAGTATGTTGCTCTCATAACACTGGACATGGTAATAGGTTTATGATATCATTAGTTTGACCTCTGAAGGACTGGCAACATGTGGCATTGTAGAGTGAGATAGATTATTCCAGCAGAGTAATGCACCATATCATCAGGCTTGGTTTGAGGAACATTTTGGAGACTTCTGACAAATAGTGCATTCCACATGTTTATCCAATTAATTGATTATTTAGGATAGGTGTTGGAGAGATCTATTTGCATGTAAGATCCTGCAGCTACAAATATCCTTGTACTTAAGATATTTTAACAATTGACTATCTTCAGGAGGTCCAAACAATTAATGCAGAATAGTAATTGCATGTGGTGCTGATTAAAGGAAGCCTTGAAAGATATGTCCTAAGGAGGCTTCAGAAAGTTTTTTTTTTTTTTTTTTTAAAGGACAATGTACCTGCTCACAGACCTGGCAAAAGTGAGTTTTGATGAATTTCTCACCAGATCTTGCTTCATCTCTATTTCCTGTTTCCAAAGCTTGAAATGAGTTTGGAAAGGGGGAACTTTTTGAATGATTCTGAGGTGATAATTGCAGCTGAGAAGTATTCCAGTAACCAAATAGATTTTTAAGAGATACTTAAACAATGTGCTAAGTGTGTTGAACTGCAGGGTGTATATGTGGATTAGCATGTTTCATTGCTCATGGTCATTCCTTTCTTGGGCTGAGAACCTTTCAAAACCTTTCTTGTTAGATTTGGAAAATAAGTGCTTGAATATATCACACTTCTCCACATTGTAAGGCCATAAAATATATATTTTGATAATTACCTGTATTGATGACTAATCAGTAATCTATTAAAAAAATTTTTCAAAACTGATTTCATGTAATAAAGCCTTAGTATTACTTTGTTCTCATTTTTACCTATTCATGTGCATGTTTTGATTTTGTTTTGTCTTATTGCTTCAGACAAAAACTGAAGAGGAAGAAGCCAAATATAAAGAATTGGAAGATAAAAATAAACATTACATAGAAAAGATTGAAAGATATGAAAAAGAAATGGCAGATGTCAGAGTAAGTAATGCAAATCGTTTCAATTGACATAACTTAAGAAGAATGATGGATAGGTGTATATAATTTACAGATTATGGAAATAATTAGCAATAAGAAAAAGTGCCAAGTTAAATGCTTCTTGATTAAATTTGTTGAAGATATTACTTTCATATTTTATATTGAATTAATTCTTCAATTTTCTTATTAGGCATTATGGCTCTTTCTATTTATTGACTAGTGTACAATGTGAGTGCAATATGAAAAGGTCACTTATAAAGATAGGAAGAGAAAAAGTCACACACCTTTTCTCTTCATTAATTTATCATATTGGGTTTGTCTTTTAAGTATGTATATCTAAATAAAGGCTTAAATTATGCTAATGAAATATAAAGCAATATTGAGATGCAAAATGATTATAAACAAAACTTTGTTAATGTTACTATATTGATACCAGTTTTATATGTGGATTGTGCCATAGTTTTTGTAAACTTGTAATTCCAAATCTTGACTGCCTTCATTCCATTTTGATATGCTTTGTTCATTATTAACTGTTTTTTTTTTTGTTTTTTTTTTTTCATTTCAGATAAAACTTGATGATTATGAATCTCAACTGAAGGCTTCTGAGGAAACACAGACTGTATACCTTGACCAAATTGAAGAACTAACCCACAAACTTACCCAAGCTGAAAATAAAATTACTTCTTATGAAGCTACCAAAGTAGAGGAAGGAGCTAAAGTAAGTGAAAATTATGTATTGTTAAAAAGAAATAATTAATTAGCAATCTCCATACTTTGGTTTCAGTATAATTCAATCAGCAGCAGTATTCGTTTTTATTTTTTGTTTTCTTTTTAAACATCCAAAAAAGATTGCTTCAACAGACTATATTATTCTGATTAATGTATATTTTTGATCAGCATTCAATCATTTGAGAGACTGGCCATTTTATTTTTAAATTTTAAATAAATGTTCAAGAGAAGACATGATTCACATGAAGCAAGTAAGAAAAAAACAAATGAAAGGAAGCAATATTAGATAAAAGTGAAGAAATTTTTGTTCAACTTTTATTTTGAAATAATAATCTTTAAAAATTTTCTTCATATTTTTACATTAAAATGTCTTTCAGTAGTACATGCTATTATATTTAGCTTATACACTAAAACATTGTTTAAAACAAGAACCATTTCATAACACTTAATCATATCAATAAATGTAGAAATGTATCAAACTTAGAAAACTAATTGAAACCTATTTTATAGTTTTCCATAATTTAAATCATTCAATTGCTATAAAATAACTATATCATAATTTTCATATGCAACAAAATCTTAAAAAAATCTATTGAGATAGAATTTCTATACTGTACTCAATTTTTTTATTTTTACTTAACAGTAAGTTTACTTTCATTGAGAATTGGAATTGTCAGTTCTTACAATTGTTAATTATTTAATAAGAATTTATGGAGAAATCAATTGTTTTTTATTATTATTTTAAAAAATATCTCACAACACTTGAGATTATATTTCTTAAAATGTACTTGATCTAATAAACTTATTTTGGCATTAGTATTGACAGAATTCTCATTTAATTATTGGTAGTTTTGAAAATTAAAAAAAAAATAGTAAAACTAATATCAGAATTTGAAAAATACTATGCTCTGGACTTCCATTATTTGTATGTAAACAAAATAAAAATGGTAAAACTTTATCTTACCTGTGTACCAGTCAGAGAGATAGCAACTCTACAGTTGGAAAACAGCTTTCTCTGGAAAGATATAAAGAGCCTGGTATTGTCAGTCAACTTTGTTTTTAATGCCTTTCAGAATCTTGAATCCTCTAAGAATCTTCCACTGGTAAGTTTTGTATAGCTTGTCTGTTTGAATAAATGTTTTTTTCTCTCTCTCTCTCATTATCATGATATTCTTACTCTCTTTTGACTGGAAGAATTATCCTGAAACTTCAAAACCTACTTTATTACTTGATTCTCCTCTTCTTCCATCTTTCACATTTTTTTTCCATTGCCATAGAAACCATGCATGTTATTTTGTGATTTGTATGTAGTTCATCATCTATCAATTAAAATTATACTTCTCTGTTTGATGGCTCTGATAGATTCACAACCTGTATAATGGTAAAATGAGATTCTTCGGGATGATTTAGATAATCGCAATTTGAAGTTTAGTCTAAATTTAACTATATTTTTGTTTATTTCTGGCACAACTCAATTCATGCAGTATATTCTTCTGAATTTTTTTTCTTTTATTTTTTTTTTTTTTTTTTTTTCAAAATATCTTTTACTTATTTTGAAGATATGTTATTGAATTAAAAAAACCAGGTCTCAAAACATTTGATATCTTTAACTTTTTTTTTTTTTTTTTTTTTGAATAGATACTTAATTTTCTGTTAATATTGTATGGATTTATGAGTCGTTTTTTTCCCTGTTTTAATTTAAAATTATAAAGAATATCTTAATGGAAATTTAATAAAAGAAATTAGGAAAGATCAGGATGTTAATTGAGACAAAAATATTTTTTGCAATTGTACAGTTTTTTTTTTTCCTTTTATTTTTTCATAACTTGGTTTTATATTAATATAATTACTGCCTCAATACAGAGGAAAACTTTGTAGTTGTATTAGTTTGGTTAACATGAATGAAAAACAATAGTAGATTCCAGCATTGAGCAACAAGAACTTTTCTCTTTTGCAATCATAGTTGTAAAAAAAATGCCAGTAAATGCTATATAAACATTATAATAAAGTTTGGATTTGCATCATTTAAAATATCATTAAGGTTGTAAAAGACTGAGATGGCTTTGAACTCTTATTGTTGTTATATGATTAATGAACCCTTTGATCTCAAATTTATATAAAATTTGAATTTTTGAAAATAAAAACTTATTTGATTTGTTTAAAATTGAAAAATCATTCTGAGAAGAAAGAATTTAAAAGTATTAGGAGAATGAGAGTCCAAGTAAAAGAAAAAGATTTAAAATCTTTTAGTGATATTGATTAAGAGACCTTTTAATTTTTAAGATTATTAATTTCTTCTTGCTACTTTGATTTTTATAAACCAGTATCAGATGTTATTTATTCAACAATGCAGCATATTCATAGGTAAAAAAAATAAATTAAACTATATAAATTCTAAAATATTTAAAATTGCTGATAAAAAAAATATATATTATAATATGAATAAAGTAAATTTTGTTTTTATGTTAACACTAATTCATATACTAGACAAATTGTTCACATTTAACTACTGTATATACATGTGCATAAGCCAACTTCATGTATAGTGCAACCCCTGATTTTTTTTTTTTTTTGTATGAATTTTAACTTCTCCAGAAAAAAAACTTGTGTATAGTGCAACTGGTCACCAAAAATGTTTGATTTTTAACCTTTTCAAAAGAATTACTAGTATATAACGATGATAAAAAAACTGATCATAAAAACTTGTACTATACAGTAAGCACTTTTGTACAATGTGGATATGCAGTGTTCAGTTTTTACACTCATTATTAATGCTAAAAACTTGTGAATCATTTTTAAATGTTAATTGTTGGAATAGTTGTAAATAAGCTAATTTGAAATTTTTTTTTTTTTTTTATAAAAACAAGAATTCTGAAAATTTTTAGGCTAGGATGATTCATTTACATATTTATATATAGTTATGTCAATTAGAAATGATCTAAAAATGATTACTGATACATTATAAATGAATCAGGATAATATTAAGTAAATTTCCAAATTTTATATGAACTTGTTTGATAGTCAATTTTCTGGGACTTAGCTGTTTTTGTGCATCTCAAGTAAAATGCTTGTTTGAACACTAATATATATGTGTGTGTGTGTGTATCTATATAGAGAGTGTGTGTCTGTATAAATGCATTTGTGTTCTCTTTTAATAGAGTGCTTTAGTATGTGTGTGAGTTTGTATTCTAAACTGCTTTACTATCTAATACAAATAACATGAAATGACTAATTCTTTGTCATGAATTTATATAGTGAGTGTGTAAAACTTATTTTCGTGTATGTCAGGACTGTTAATCAGATAATTTATAAAATTTAATTTCCCAATGTGTATGTGGTTAGAATGGCTTGCCAACCATGAGTTGGATTAGATTTGGATTATCCAAGATGTCACTGTTTTATTTCAAAAATTTTCTTTTGTGAAATTTTAATTATATTTTTAAAAATTTTTCTATTTTAGCTACAAATCATGAATTCATATTAATGAAATTTAAAATCATTTATTTTTTTTTTGTATTTTTTATCCCTTTTTTTTCCTTTTTTTTTAAATGTTTGCTTTATGAAAGACATTTGTGTAGGTTTTCCTTTCTATCCCAAATGGGATAAAGCAAAGAAGTGATTACTATTAATTTATACAGGGATAACCCTTGAGCATTCTTAGGCCTCAAAATAACAAATATGTCTACTTGCCTTGATGTTGAAGGTCATGGTTCATTGTCTGCTTTAGCTGATGTGAAAGATTTAAAATAAGACATTATGCCTTACTGTTTAGTTTCAAGCATTTTTCTATCATGCAGAATTTAAACTATTTACATTATTTGAACTATTATCCTCATCTTTGTCGCCATATTTATCATGTTTTTTCAACTGTTGTACCTCGGCTTTCTTCAGGTGGTTGGAATGTCAAACTGAACCCTTTATTTTGCTCACTGGGGTAGACTGTTCTAGTTCCACATGCCATGTCTAATGGATGTCAGTTATCAGTTATCTCCTGTTAATTCCCCACTCCAAGTTCTCCACTGCTTTAACCAAGTATTGAACTCACACTCTTTTGGGTCCTGTCACTGGGTCTAACTAATGCCTTTATCCACTGTGCCATGTCTCCTTGAGGACATCTGTGTATGAATTTCTGGGTATTATAAACCTAATGTCTTCAGCAACCATTTTTACCAGTGCTCATATTGCAATTTTTTGCTGTTATCATTGCATGTTTTTTTACCAGAGCTCATATTGCAATTTTTTGTTATTATTATTTTTTCTCTGGCACTCCTTATTACTGGTTCCCATATTGTATTCATTTCTATGCTTGGTCAGGCTCAGGAGATTTTTTGTGGCCTAGCATATGTGCTGATTCCTTAAGTTTACGAATTTTCCAATGATGTTCTTTTTGTCTATGATCTCAACCTGATCCCACAGAGGGCAGTGATCTCCTTTTCTCTCTCCATATGTGGTCAGCCACGCCTGATTTTTCCACTTCCCCTCATGTTACAGCTTTCTGGTGTTCTTGAAGCCTTACCTTTAGGGGGCATTCTGTCTCCCTTTATATTTCTTTCCACAGCTGCACACGGGATAGCGTACACACAGTCTTTAGTCATGTTCTCCTCTATGGGGGGGTCTTACTCTGGGAGAGATATCTGCAAAGTGTCATCCAGCTTTTGAAGGTTGTCCTGATGTTATATGGACCACAGATCCTTTGTATTTTCTCTGATAACCCCTTCACATAAGGCAGGCAGACTGTTTTTATCTGAGTGTTGTTGTCCTCCCTTTGTACCCGCCTATCCCAGTTTTTTGGGGCTGCTGCCATGTACCCAGGGTAGTTGTTATGTTGTAGGGTACTACTTATACTGACCAATTCTTTATCTAATGTCTCTGGGTCACCACTTATGACTTTTTGCTCGATGTTGTAAGCAAATGGACGATCCCTTTCTTTACACTGTATGGATGGTGGGAGTTGAAATTGAGGTACTGTCCGGTGAATGTTGGTTTACG